AAAAGAAATTGGTCTATTTTCGTCTAATGCTGTGAAACAGTGCTGAATCAGTTGAACATGCCACATTAGCATTTCATTAGCCACATTAACGACGGTTAACTATTAGTGACTGGTTTATTATAAATCAAAGACGTTAGTGACCAATTCATTACTTTTAAAACTTTAGTGAGAAAAACAAAAATTTACTTAAAAATAGTGACCATTTGTGTAGTTTATCCTTTTAAATATTGGTGGAGGTATGAACTAATTTAAACAATATGTGAACTTTTGAGTTCAAATTATTAAGCCTAAAAAACTTAATGACCATCGGTGTAATTGCACTATTTTAGAACATAAAACCGAACATGTTCGCGAACGCTAAACAAGTTGAACATTAATACAAAAAAAAAAACATGAACACAATATTAAAAATTTAAACAAACACAAACAAAATATGATTAATTTTAAAATTAAATAAACAAACACAAACATAACTTTATTCGTTTAAACTCGATTCATTTAGACGGCTACAAAAAATACCCCAATTCACCTATTGAGTGGTCTAAGCCACGCACGAACCAAAGACCTCAATGGTAAATGAATTGTTGTTATTTCTTAAGTTTTCGAGTTCGAGCACTAATAATAATGGGTGTGAATGGTTACCTTGTAATTGCCCTAAATTAATAACAAGGGTTAACTACACAAATAAGCACTTATGTTTGTGTTTTGTTCACTTTTTGTCAATGATTTAAAAAACATAAGATATAATCACTTTCATTTTTATTTAATTAAGATATTGTCACTTTCGTTTTTATTTAATTGAGGCGTGATCAACCGAGTTAACTGATATTAACAGTGTTTAAATATTTTGATATAATCGCACATTTGATCCCCATTATTTACATATTCTCTCAATTTAGTCACACTTTTAATAATTAAAATAAATTTAATCACCTAATCAAATGATGTTAAATGTCATGCCACGTGTCGTGCCAAGACCACTACTTGATCTAAAGTAGACAACATAGTATATATATTTTTGTATTTAGTGTATAAATACTTAAATACATTATATTTTACATATATTAACTTATTAAATGTAGTTTATTATTAACTTAATTTTAAAATATTTTTTTATTTTCATTTAAAAATATTTTTTTTTGTTAAAATCTATTTAAAAATATGATTAAATCGTGAAAATATGAAAATAACAAAGATCAAACATGTGTTTATACAAATTATTACGTCACATTTTATATTAATTGTTAACAATAACTAACCTATAATGATTACATCTTAATTAAATAAAAAACGAAATTTATCATATCTTATGTTTTTTAAAATCAATGACAAAAAATAAATAAAAACACAAATATAAATAATCATCGTAGTTAACTTTAATAATAATAATAGTAATACAAGAGAGTGGGCTATGTCACGTGTTTGCTCCAACAGACGAATTGGGGTGGCAGCGAATTTTGGAAAAAGAAAAAGGAAGGGTATTTGGCAAGAAAACCGATCGAAATTTTTTTAAATGTCGAAATCGAAGAAATTTCCCACCTAAAATTAACCGCCATTTCATTTTCTGGCATTTAAAATGATTATAAACCCAGAAATCCCATCCCATTGTTTCATATTTCCACAGTTTAATCACTTTCAAGCTTTCGATCACTCTAAAAGTCTCTCAGGTCTCTCTTGCCGCAACCTTTTATTTTCATCTACTACATCATAGATACAGATTTTATCGATTCAAAATTTTAAGCTTCTAAGGCTCCCCGGATGTGATTAGTATTTAACAGATCTGGGTTATAGTAATGATGTGATGGCATTATTTTCACTTGTTTGTGTGTGTGTGTGTTTTAAAGGTGAACGAGGATGGCAGGAAAAGGTGGAAAGGGGCTTTTGGCGGCGAAAACAGTCGCAGCTAACAAGGACAAGGACAAGAAGCGCCCGGTTTCTCGTTCATCTCGTGCCGGAATCCAGGTGTTTCTCAGAACTTTTCAGTTATACATGCTTGTTACCTTTGGATGATTTGGTTCATGAATTATAAAAAGAAGGAAAAGGAGTAAATCGAGAAGGTGGACTCTGTGTTTGTTTTTGTGGGCTAGATAATTTAGATCTTTTCACTTTTTATTGTAATTGGTATAAAATAATTTCTCTCTCCAAATTTGGTTATGATAAGAGTAAGCTTAGAGAAAGAACGGTTAAAGCTTGAAGTACTCGTGGTTGGTTATCGAGACATTTGCAAGTTGTTCATCTTTTTTATGTCAAAGCACAGTGATTATGAATGCTAAAACAAAGAACGATTTACTCATATTTTGGCATATGGGTTTTGAATGATATAGCTCTTGTTTTAGCCTCATGGGAACAAAAATCCTAGTTCTCTCTGTCCAGTGCCGTGTTTCATTCCTATTTTTCTCGAGAGTTTTTTAAGCATTTTAGGAAGATAAACAGGACTGATATGATCAATTCACAGCTTTACATAAGCTGAGACTTAGCTGAATAATGTATATGTAGTTGGTTCGTTTGACACATTGTAAGCAGGCATCAGATTCTTGCTTCTTTTGGGTAATGAAAGCACGTTCATCCATAAAAAAAAGTTGATGCAACTCAGTCAGCGAAGTATCTATACCCATGGTGTAATTTTTAATCTTTAACCAGTTCAAATTGTTTCTGTATTATGAGTTAAACAAATTTATCAGGATTCTATGTCCTTGTTTCAATCTGTTTATAATTGTAGTCTTTGTTGTTTGCCTGGTAAGACCATATCAAAATGAGGGTTTTCTTTCCTCCTGGTATTTGTCATATGGTTCCTCAGTACGCTTCACTGTTTCTTGTTATTAGTTCCCAGTGGGTCGTATCCACCGTCATCTCAAGTCCAGGGCTTCTGCAAATGGGAGAGTTGGGGCAACAGCTGCTGTTTACTTGGCCTCAATCCTCGAATACCTGACCGCTGAGGTTCTTGAGTTGGCCGGAAATGCGAGCAAGGATCTGAAAGTGAAAAGAATCACCCCAAGGCATCTGCAGCTGGCTATTAGGGGAGACGAAGAGCTTGACACCCTTATCAAAGGCACCATTGCTGGAGGTGGTGTGATCCCTCACATTCACAAGTCCCTCATCAACAAGACAACCAAAGAATAGTAATGCCTGATTTCAACTAGGTTTGGCTTTCCAGTACCTTTATCTGTTGCGTCTTCTGTGTTATTTGTAGGCTTTGTTTAATCTGTCTAGAACATCTGATTAGCATATACGATGGTAGTAATTCTCAAGGTTTGTTTCGTTGAACTTATGAATTATGATCTTTGTTAGAGCAGGAATGGTTCCTGTTGGATACTTTTAACTACTGTTTCCTTGGAAATCTGGCTCTAAAGTTATAATATGCTCATTTGACATGATTTATGGTAAAATATAAATATATTGAAGATTTTGAATAAAAATAAACAAATGAATAAATTTATATTAATTAGTTATAAAGAAATCGGGCATGTTCTTATCCAATTTGAAGAGCTGCTTGTCTTTACTCCTTGAAGAGGTATAAGCATCCAGCCGGCTGTTCTTCATCAAGATTCCACATTTGCCATTTGGATCACATTCAAGCATAGATTTAGAACTGGCCTTTGTACTCTTTAAACATTTTGAATTTGATTCTTTTATTTTTAATTATGAGAATGCATTTCTTTTGTTCTTTTAATTTAATAATTGAAGTTCAATTAGTAATGACTGTTGGAGGATTTTTGCTAATTGAAGTTCAATTACTCACATTACCAAAACTTTTATGGGTAAATAATGTGTTTAGTACTTAAACTATAAATTTTGATTAATTTAGTACCTAAACTTTCAATTTTTTCAAAACCATACTTAAAGCTTAGTTTTTGTTTCATTTTAGTACCTTTGTTCAAAATTTATTTTTAATTTTTGAAAAAAAAATCAACGTTTAAGTATTAAAACGGATCAAAATTAATAGTTTAGGTATTAAATGAGTTAATTTTCTAACAATGGGTGCTAAAATGAAACAAAAGTTAAACTTTAGGTATGATTTTGAAAAAAATTGAAAATTTAGGTGTTTTTTATTCTTATATGATTTTTACGTAATTTTAGATTGAACACTTGAATTTTTTTTTTACAAATAATCAAATTAGCTAAATTCCTTTAACAATGCCATGAATTGAAATTCAATTATTAAATCAAACGAGTTTCTTGAAAGGGTATATTAGATACTTGAAATTCAATTATTAAATCAAAAGAGTTTCTAAATATGAACTTGGTCTATTAGATCAAGTATTAATAAGCAAAAGTCTAGTACCAATTTGAACTGATAAGTTAAGTTCAAATACCTCAATTGGACAAAAAACACGAAACCATCAAATTGAATCTTTAAGCCAAGTTCAGGTATCAAATTACAGATTTATCCTTCTTGAAACGAAAAGTAGAGGGGTTAAATTTCAAGTGTGCAAAGAATACAGGGACTGAAAGAAGAAATGGACCCTTTATTTAATACATTTCTAGTATGGGGCTGAGTTACTTGGCCTAGAATTGACTTCCCCATCTACTTGGTTTCTGCAAAAACGACCAAGGATGGAAGAGGTAATAACTTATTAAAATTTAAAATTATCATATATTTTAGATTTTATTTATGTGTTTTTTATTAAAAACATTATTTTTATATCTCTAAAATTTTATAAATTCAAATTCGTTCCCTAACTTCAAATCGTACTGTCGTATGGGGATCGCAAAGCCTTGAAATTTTCAATTTTACACTTGTACAATTAAATCAACCTCCACTTGTTGTACTATCTATGCCGTTAATAGCTCAACATCTTTGTTTCCCAATACCAACAAAACAGCATCTTTAAACACCACCATGCCTTCTATTTTGAGCATTGCTAACGACTGCACATCTCGTTGCTTTCTCCAAATATGCTCCACATGCACATTTTGTTCTTATATACTCGCTCCTTGTGCTAGTCAGTAGTCCCCTCCATTCACATCAGGATTTTACTTGTCTTTTTCTTTTTCCATCAATGGAAGCTAAGTTGATTTTACAAAGCCGGAGCCCGACAGTGACGCCTTCGAGGCCAGCAGATGAGCGGCGGTGTCGTCCGGTTCGTTCGGTGCTGGCTAGGCCGCCGGAGAATTTAGTTACGGAGAGGTTGAGGTTGAAGAAGTTAAAGCCCGCAGATAGCAAAGCTGGTAGCAGTGTACATAACGACGGCTGGTTTGATCTTTTGGCTATTAATTATCTATCCCAAAGTCTACAAGCTGCAACAGGTTCGTTTTCTATGGTCACCATGATTTTGTTTCTATAGGAAGAAGAAGAGATTGAATTTTGGAAAATGTTGAAAAATTGCTATATATGCAGGGCTGAAGAGCATGTCGAGTGGGTACGAGAGCTTGATGGAGACTACGGCAATGATGTCGAAGAGATTCAATACTAAAACGCAACAGAAGCTTGTCGTTAAAGCTATTGACAATGTCATCCCCAAGTTCATTCTAGACATGGCAAGTTCATTTCCACTGCTGGTTTACCCTATTCTAAATGCATGGAACTCACATGAGTTCTAATACGAAACAACAATGGCTTTTTAGAGAGAAACCCCCCCCCCCCTAAATATGTGATGCTTTCATGTTGGTTTACGTTCATATTAGGGGTCGACTGCTCCATAGAATGATTCCCTGCCTGTTTTTTTTTATTTTAAAAATGATGGGGAAATATGGTTTACTAAATTAATATTGGTATCATTGACGTGGTGGTGATCCAATGGCAGATAAGAATATTGCTGCCTCAATCTCAATTCACAAGGGAATATTTCGCCGCCTTCACCACCGTTTTTTTCGCCTGGCTCATCGGACCTTCTGAGGTAAGCAGATGGTGGGAAGTAGTTCATTTCTTTGTATAATATGGCAATGCCAATAATAAAGAAGAGAAAAACAGGGAGACATGATATAATGTTTTTTTTAGCAAACACTAACATGCATAAACCACGTGCGGCTTATGGCGATGTAAAACTTGTGTCATGGCTCATACATGCATATGATTTCCTCCTGATAAATCTAACATCCTTATTGATTCAATGCCACAAGGTCCGGGAATCGGAGTTCGACGGAAGGAGAGAAAAGAATGTCGTCTATGTAAAAAAGTGCAGGTAATTTTACCAACGCTCGCCATTATAATTAAGCACTATAGTCTAATCCAAGATGGAGACCCTTCCTTACCAACTTAAGAAACTTTAATACGGTAAATAACCTGTTCCAATGATTGTGTGCTGGACTCTGCTTTTTGTCCATTGCTATCATGATGATGGTCATCGTCGTCGTCATCCTCACAACATTGAATTCATCGATAAAGATTTCATCACCCTAGATCATCCTGGTAATCCTCCAATATTTGCTTGAACTTTTTGTAGGTTCCTGGAGCAGAGCAACTGTGTTGGAATGTGCATCAATCTTTGCAAGATGCCCTCTCAAGCCTTTATTAAGGATTCCCTGGGAATGCCGGTAAACATGGTTCCAAGTAAGTATACAGTCATTCAGATCGATGATTAAATAAATAAAACAGGGAAAATTGGTGTTAGAACAGGAAAAAGGGGAAAAGAAAAATAATTCAAACAGTAACAGTTCTTGCACTAGATTGTGGAGCTCATGCCCATTATGTCAATGTAGGGCCTGCATGCTTCAGCACTTAGGGTGCAAAGCTGCAAGTGGACCCGTTCAACCTCAACCGAGAATACTAGGATGTAAAATAACACAAAATGCAGTGCATTATGCATACACAAAACCATGATGTTCATTCTTACATTCTTTCTAGGCCGTAAATTTGGTATAACAATAACAAATCTTTTGATTAAATTCCATGTATCGACTCGTTATGAAAGATATGCTGAATTCTTCTGGTTCCCATGAATCCAATCATTATTCTACAGCCAACTCCATATAAAATCACAATCTGCCTAGAAATTGTATCATTAAAACCATCAAAGCTTGAATATTATTCACACTTTCCACGTGCCAATCATTCATGAGAAGCAGGAGACCATTACTGTTTATGAAGCCAATCCATCAGAACAGTTAACAGAAGCTCTGATGCATTTTTAACTGCAGATTTTGATGATATGAGCTGCGAGATGATTTTCGGTCAGGAACCTCCAGCATCAATCGACGATCCGACGCTCAAGCAGCCTTGCTACAAATTATGTAATAATTTATTTAAACCGCACTTTTATATGTACTTCCATCTTTTTATCATTGTGGTGCACAGTACAAATCTCAAATTTGGTCCTTCAACTTGGCCAACTCAATGCTGTTCCTAGCACAAATGAGCTTTCATGAGTGCTTGATATGACAGTGGAAGTTGTATTTCTGACCAAATCTATCCTTTCTCTAAATATCATATGCAGGTAAGGCTAACCAAATGCACACAGTGAAGAGCTCCGGCCAATGCGTTTAGGGGAAACGGGAACTTTAACGACGGTTTTCATCGATGATCACAAAAGTTGACCTGAAAATCTTTTCATTATTGTTCAATACAAATACTTGTAAAACACTTGAAAATTTCATCTTGAAATTCACAACATCCCATACTACATTGTAAATTATAATTACTTCAGTGCAACAAAGAAAAGGCCTTTTCTTTTCAACAAACTCCATGCAGACAGATTCTAGAAACTAAAATGTTGAGAATTTCAGTAAGCTCTTTTGACATTTTAAATAGTCACAGTAAAAATACTAAACTAGTGCCATCTTTCATAATTCAAACATGAGAATACACTAAGAGTATCGATCTTGCACGTAAACATAAACAACCGTACAAAAGGAATCCAATAGAAAATTTTGGGCTGTAAAAAGTAAAACAATACAAAGGCACTGAAGGAGTGTTAAAGAAGTGCAGAACTAAAATTGCACTGAGATGTTCACAGAACCAATCTTTGATTAAGGTGTACGATTCAACCTCAAAATATATCGTCTTGAAGAAAGAAATCTAAATCTTAGATAATAATAGTAATATGGCTAAACAGTAAAAAAGAGAGTAATTTAGCATTCCAAAACTAAGAATTAGCCTCCATGCAGATACTATGGCTAAAGAAGCAAACAAGGGAAGCTTGTGCTCAAAGTTATACAAGATTAGAGGTTGATATCATAAATTGATATGGACTATTGGTACTATAGAAATTGGAAACTCTTTAATCTAAGTTATTACTTCTTACTGTTACTAAAGACAACTTCATCTTAGAAAATTCGACATAGTGTTTTAAGAAAGATTCAGAAGATCATTACGTTGATTATAGAAATTATCGATGAATTGCTTCTTAATCACTTGACTACTACTGCCATGCTTAGACCACTGATAAGCATAATCGCACCCTTCAATTTGTAAAAATCAACATAGTTAGCATTTCCTTATTTATGCTCAGAGAATACACTCACCAAAATGCACATATTACCCGAGAACTCCCCCTCTCCCCAGCACACTAACAAGGGGTTCTGGTTGAGGTTCAACAGATTTTAAAACGGATGGTTTTTTACCTTCTCAGAACCGTAATAATTCTTGGCAAATTCCATAAGCAGAGCAATGGATACTTCAGTGTTTTCTTTGGATCTTTTGATGAGGGGTTTGACCATGATGATACACTTCCACTTTTTAATTAACGCTAATGGAAAAGCCAACAAGCTTTCCTATTAGGAGAAGTGTTTTTGACTGAAAAATCATTGTAGGCTTTAAGGTCAGCAAGGGTGGACCAGTTGTGTCTCCCACCTTAGGTGCTGCCAAGTGAGCAATCTAAGATTCTTCTGCTTTCTTTTCTGTCTCAATGAGAGAGTGACTGGTAGACCCACTTTCCCCTTGAAATTCAGCCGAAAGTTAATTCCCTTCATAATAATATTTTGAAGTTAATCGGCAATCAGATACAAGACGGTATGAACAAGTGGGTGGACAAAACATGTTGGTGACCAGGAAAGAAATTCGTGTCACTCTAAGAGGGCAGTATTTGGATTTCAATAGCACAGACTGTGAATAAGAACTAATATGGGAATCATCAAAATGTCAACCAAGTTTAAGATATTCAAAAAGAACTATAACCGGACATTTAAAGCTCGGTTATTGAAGAATGTACTTAGTGGCTGAAACTTCTAAGAATTTGTCAGCTGGTTGCTCCTTTTGTGTCATCTCTAGTCTCTTGCTAAGATATTTTGTCACTTTACGAGCTCTACTAGATGACCTATATTTAAATTTTCCTTTTACATTCACAGTAAGGGCCATAAGATCACTGAAGCGTCCAACCAATATCTTACCTAACACACGTCACTCAGGAAAGGATAAGGTAAAGGTTCTTGGAACAGAAATCAGCTAGTTTAATATAAGTACAGACAACCCGATAATTACTTCGGTCCTTACAATAACATCAATGATCGATGAAATTTGGTTCTTGCAAGCACAAAAGTAGCAAAAAACCAGAAAATATTCAAGGGAAATGTAGCAGAGAACAGCCAGAACCACAGTATTATTTTAGCCATACTACTACAATTCATGTGGCTTCCAATACCTAGACATTGATACTTCCTTTACTTGATTAAGGCACCAACATCAGAATTGCAAATGCTCTAACATCCTAATTCTCCCACACAACTTTCATTTTTTTTTTCAAAACTATACCTAAAGTTTAGTTTTCATTTCATTTTAGTATCTCGCCGTTAAAACCTTAACGCGTTTAGTATCTGAAGTATCAGTTTTGATCCGTTTTAGTACCTAAACTTTTAATATTTTCAAAACTTACTGTTAAATTTTGAATTGGGTACTAAAATGAAACAAAAACTAATTTTAACGACGAAATACTAAAATAAAACAAAAACTAAATTATAAGTATGATTTTGAGAAAAACTAAAAGTTTAAGTAATAAAACATATTAGAACTGATAATTTATATAATAAATATGTGATTTACCCAAAAAAAGTGAAAAAGATTAGGACAACCACGTCTAGTAACGATGACAATGATTACACAAAGATCAAAGACACATACACAAAACAACCATTCGTAATGTCACACGCAAGAAAAGTATATAGGGGCAGCGGCACATGCGCGGTTATGTCACCAATGCACCACCCAGCGTCCCGTTACTAGCATTTTAAGCAACGGTGTAATATTTCAACTTAGTTTAATTGAACAAAACACAATAAAAAAATTATAAAATTATAAAATTAGATTATTTTTCTTCAAATTAAAAATATATACAAACTAATTATTAAATAATAAATAAATAATTCAGTCGAACTATTTAGAAAATTACAAACACAAACAAAAATTATTAGTGCTGATGATAAAAATAAACATCATTAACATTAACATTAAAATATATATAACAACGATGATGTATTGACAAATTAGCTTCATTATAATTTAACCGTGATTTATTTTCGGTGATTGCGAGCATCTATCGACGAAAGACAACTAATTCGATGTCTAAACAAGGATAGATCATCAAAGTAAACAAATAGATGTCAACCAGAAAGATAATTCGAGTCGAGTTTTGCTCACCCCAAACAAGTGGTGACAGTGCTATTATTGTTTTGAATAATGTGAGACCCAATTATTGTTATTGTCATTCAGGTAGGCCTAGCTCTATCTAAATACATCAACAGTGAATGGCCAAGGCCTGGTGATAAGAGGGACCAGCCATGTTATAAAATGGGCCACAAGGCCCTCTGGTGTGATTAAAGAAGAATAAGACAGTGGACCACAGCTAGTTTTAAACCGCACAAAACTCGGCATTCCATTTCGATTCAGTGTATTATTGTTCTTTATACATGAATACATGCATTCCATGACAAAGAAAAACAGCGCATTCATTGATGTAATGAAATCCTTGGTTGGCTTCTATTATCTCTCATAATTGAGGACTAAAAAGTTACACCAAGATATTTCATGTATACATGCATGGTGTCCTTTGGATAACAAACTTAATAATTAAGTGGTTCGGGTTTTAAATCGATAAATATTATTATTGTTATGATATTTATCAATTTATATACTTAAAATTCAAATGTATTTAAACATGTAACATTCTATGATGTAGGCAGTTGTAGAGGCATATATAATTTAATAATTATACCATGACATGTACTCAAATTCATATTTTGTTTGATCAATTACTAGTTGTTTTAAAGAAATGTGATGTTAGATTTTTTTAAATAAGATTAATTTTAAGAATTTCAATATTGTAAATTAAATTGAAAATCATCCTATAATAAAAAAAATACAATATTTAATTTTAAATCATCAATTAATAAATAAAATATCAATGGTAATATTTTGAAAAATAATGGAAGTAAAAAGAACATTTATTAATGACTACCAAAAGGGCCAAATCGTAGAATTCTTTGATTAAAATAAAATATAAAAATCCCAAAAAATGCTTTTTTTCCCCTTCGCGTTATTATATTTAATGAAGAAATAAAGAGGCAGATAGAAAATTCTGGTAATAATAGTATGATTTAAATGATAAGTAGTTTGATATCATTTAAATAAAGTTTTAGGTTTGAGTCTTTGTGTATATAGAAAATTCTCGTTGAGATACTCGCCTATCAAAAACAAGTGTACCACCTAGATCAGTTCAGATTAATCAAGGTAAGAAATTAGAACCTGAAAAAAATAAGAATTATATGGATACTTACGGACAGCGTTGCTTTATCCTTATTATATCGTACACTAAGGTTAAAAGTGACGTCAGACAAAATAGTGACTATCCTGCAAGCGCTCCAACAGATGATTCACAAGAGAAAATTCGCCCAAAAAAATCCAGAGAAAAAAAGTCTTTAGAGTTTAATAAAATATTATCAAATCAAACAATGCCAAAATCAGTCCACAAGCCGGACTGTTATAGCCAAAAATCGTCTTTATTCGAATTTTACCAAAAATAGCAAAATCCCGAAAATCACTCTAAATTGAAATTCGAAATAAAATAAGCAATCTCCAAAAAATCCGGCCTAAATCGGATTTAAATTGACTTCCTAATTGACAATCAAAATATTACCATAAATAGTAAAAAATATTTAATTCTAGTGATTTGGAGGGGAAAACGGCAGAATTTGAGGTTGAAAAAAATATCACATGGAGCGTAGCTCGATGTGGAGAGCGTGCGCGTCGAAAAGAGCTTTCCGGATTGGGGTTTTATGCGCGATTCTGACACATGTAGCCAAAGTTATGGCCAAAAGACTGAAACATACTCAAAACGACCCAAATGAGGAACATGTCACAATCAATTCCCGCCTTTGACCTGATCTGCCAATTCGTGGTATCTCAGCGCCATCAAGGTGCAATCTGACAGCTCAACATCATCTGTCTCAGATCCCCTGCATCAAAAAAGTTGGGAATCTACGAACTCATCGAGTCAAACCTGAGATAAATATAGCTACAGTGATTTTCTGATAAATCATAGAAGTCTTCCAACATCCCTTTAAATCAAATTCTTGAATATAAGGTATTCCTTTAAATTATAATTCTCGTTAATTATTGAAATCGTTTCATTCGTATTTATATGTTTCAATGATTGATTTAGAATAATTTATTATTATAATTGTAATTTGGGTAAAAATACACAAATAGTCTCTCGATTATAAGATATTATTTTATTAAATCATTTGATTATTAGAAGTTATAAAATGATTCTTCGATTATCGGGAGTTACTTTGTTTAATAAACTATTAAAAAGTTAAAAATGATTACTCGACTATTTATTTTGTTTCAAGCTCATCCTTTTTTTTGGGGAAACAATAATGGCCATATAAGTTCGACGCTAGCTTGTTAACTGAGATATAATAGTCATTTGAGATACTGAGATCAAATTTTATCATATCTCAGGCATAAAGTTAACGTACGGCTCAGATCGCTGTCAAAATTTTAATGGAAAATGATGAGTTTGGAACATAATAAATAGCCGGGTTATCATTTTGTAACTTTTAATAGTCAAACTACTCAACAAAACAACTCTGAATAGTCGAAATACTATTTTATAACTTTTAATAGTGAGAAGACTTAATAAAGCAATATTTTGTAGTCATGAGACCATTTATATACTTACTCTTATAATTTTAAAAAATTGAGAGTAAAATTGGAGTAATTCTTATAAATTATTCAAATCAATTAATCTTGAATAAGTGAGATGGATAGGACAAAATCCACTGCCCTACTCCTCCATCGCCATTGATGAATTCCAAAGGAACATTTCAAGCATGGCACGCCTGCATGTGTCTTCCTCCTCTTCCATCACGCTCAATTTCCATGTGTGTTTGAATCAATGAAAGCGCCAAACAACATTGAAATTTTCACCGCATCGTCTTCTTTTGCAGTCCCCATGCATGTAAAAAAAAGAAAGAAAAGAGAGAGAGCCATTCGTCCATCGAATTAGTGCCTCCCACATCCCTTTCGGGATCTTAATTGAGAGAGGGCCCTTAACAGTCAGCCCCATCTCTCTGATTGAATCAAAGCATTGAATCATGTTTTACTGTCCTTTTTACCTGACAACAACATTCAACACAAAACTGGGTAGCTCAGCTTTGTTCTATGGGCATTAATACTCATAAAAATGGTGTAGTTTAAGAAACAGGAAGGTGAGCAAAACCAATGATGCTAAATATCTAAGCAAAAGATACGGAAAAGGATCCGCCATGGTTTTTTGTTTCACACTGACAGTATCAGGATCATTAGAGATCTTTTTAAAGGGTACAGACAGTCAAAACTCCAAAGGTTCATTCCTCACTCCTATGGCCGACGCCTTTATAAACGGCGGTTCCATTCGATGACTCTGGCAACTTGCTATAAGAGGGCATTTAAGAAGAGGAAAAGGGAAAAGACAAGTACTCTCTGCAAATTGAATGCCGAGAAACAAAACCAAAAGTGCACGGTTTTGTGTCTATCGTTGAATCAAAATCCAACCAGGAACCACAACTCGTTTCTCAATGGTTTTTGAACGAGTCGGGTCAACAATTGCAGCTTACAAGTTACAAGACAGGCAGACTAGATTGACCATAGTGAGGCCTCGATGGAAAATGAGAAGAAGATCAAGAAGAGATTGTTCAAACTATCATCCGTTAGATACTTTGTTATATATAACCACACTTATATAAACCAACGTCCTTCAGTATTTAAAAATTGTTCCTAAAGTTTACAGGTTCAAACACCAACAACTGCACTGATCCGCCTACTCGATCTATCCATGTACATAGACGACACCCCAAATCACATATGGTTGATGGTTCATCTAAAGTCATAAGCAAAGTAACTAATCATCCAATCTCACTCAAATATGTGTGAGAACATAATTACAAGCTCTCCCAAAATCATCTCTTTTAGAACACCACTTTATACATTGAAGGTCTATCGACACGACTATATGAATTATCATCAATCTCCTACCTCTACTTTTTTGTATCAACAATAATACACATGTTTAAAAAATATATAAATATTTGTAGAGTTAGATATTGTAATTTAAATTTTGTTTGATCTAATTTAATTTTTTATATGATCTGTTTGTTGAAAAAAAGGAATAATTTAGAATAGATGCATAGGTTCTCAAACTAAAACCCAAATAGTATAATTCATTTTATAACAATCAATATCAGGTTCACTAATCGATTAATTTAGATCGAGTACTGTAAAAGTCAGGACAACTCTCTTAAACCAATATACTCAACTCCTAAACATCAAAATTAAACTATTTACTTAAGAATCTAATGTATCATCCAACAACACGAACTCAATATTAGTTTATTCAATTAAAATTATGACCGTACAACTCTCTCTCTCCATATTTGTATATGAGATTTTAGATTTTTAGATATTAACAACTCTTGTATAATTTGTATTTTATTTGAAGCAAATAATTTTTAATTTACCACCTACTATAATATTTTTTCTTTATTTATTTATTTTTTGAAAAATTAAAATTTTATAATTTTATTTATTTATTCGTCGTTATTCTAGCATCCAGAAATAAAAATTATACTACTGATTTATTAAAAAAAAACTATTATTGTCATGTTAAATGACGATTATATGATAGATCACACGAGTTTTCACAATTCGTTTCCAATTTTGGTCACAAATATTATCTCGCCTTTTTTACAGCTTGCTAAAGGGGGGTGATTGATGTGCTTGGGATCTCATCTAAACATCTACCAATTTGCTTTAAAAAATCAAAATATAGCCGCGAAAAATACAATGAGCTACAAGAAAGCACGCCAAGTATAATTTCATCCTTTACATCAGAACACCAACTTCCTCCGAAGTGCTGAGATTTCGTGACTTCTCCCAGAAAAAACAGCAAGATCTTGGATGGTTTCGACGATCAGGTCTTTGAATATCAGACGCTCGATATCAAGGATTGATTCCGACATCTCTACGGGTTGATCTCCCCAGCCGTTAATGGAATCCACTGCAAGATCTTTTCTCAACACACCACAAATGACCTCGAACAAGTCATCCGACGAGTCCCGCTCTCTAATCTTCTGGAATTCGGACCAGATTTGCCGCAACGACGTCTCTCCCGGCCCTGAATTCGTAGAGTCGATGAGCTTCCATGCCGGTAGCCGTCTCTTTCGGTTGAGGATTTCATTGATGATGTCGAATATAAGCTTCCTTCGGTGTCGAGAGGCTTTGGAGGTGTCTTTACCTTTCAGAAGCTGCTGCTTCTCCAGCAACGAAAACACATCAGAGTCATCTGGCAGGTAATTGGATGCCCTCAAGATATCGGAAATGTAGATGAAATCAGAGACGTCTGATTTATCATCGGACTTGGATTCGTCGGACGAGTTCCATGTGTCGTCTTCTGAGTCAAACAACTTAATCAGATAACTCGCCAATGAAGTAAAAGTCTAAGACTATGACATCATGGAAAAGCAAGTTTTGAATGAAAGCTATTTGAGTCTCCAGTAGTGACAGGCCTAGGCCAAAACTTACCATCAGTCTACTCGCGTCATCATAGTCGAATGCAAAATCTAGCGAATCGAACTCAGTTCGTATTCTTTTTTTATATTCCTCGTGAATAAATGTTTAAAGATTCAGAATTCTGACTGTACGAAAAAACAATTAAGAACAAATAAATGTTTCACTCATTCTTACCTTTGAAATCGATGCTTTGTTTCTTAACAGGGGAAACAGACATTTCCTCCTTGTAAAACGACGAGTCAAGTACCGAAACAGGACTCGGCTCCAACTCGGTTGAAGCGGTCATCTCTGCTATGCTGTGAAGAAGCTTATCGCACCTTTCCAAGAGGCTCCTTCCTTCCTTGTATTCCTCCACCGCCCTCGATCTCTGTAAAAACCCAGAATGCCAGAAAAAAAATGAATTATTCCAAGTATAAAAGGACAACGGTAATTGCGCAAAATTAGAAAACTAAATGGCCACGGTAATTAAGTAATTGAGAAAATTTACCTCGGTGTCAGTTTGAGAACATGTGCTAAAGCTACTCTCTGAAACAGTGGATGTTTCATCTTCCGCTGGAACAAATATTACCTTCTTTTCTTTCTGATAAATCCCAGTCTTTGATTTCCTGTTTCTCGGTGAACTATTACTCGTCTGATCCAATCTGGCTTTTCTCAAATTAACACGAGGGGACTGAATCGGAGATACTCTTCTCTGCTCCACACTACCATTCCCTCTACTCTGCGTTTCAACGCTCAACGGCCTTCTGCTAGGACTCCTCACGCCCCACTCACTCCTCGTAGGAGATATTGAACCCTTATTCTTCCTTTGGTTCCGTTCATTCTCCGACCGATCATTTCTAGGACTCTTTGTCGGCGGGACCTCGATATTCAAGTTCCGGCGAGGTCTAGGCCATGGTCTATTACTGGAAGAAGGTGTTTCGTTGCCAATCCTTCTGCCCGGGGAAGCTGGTGATCTTCCCGGTTTGATAACGGTAATCGGAGATGGTTCATTTTCATAAACAAAGTTCCTGTTATTCGTTTGGCTTAGAGGTTTCTTGTTGTGTAAGAGGCCTTTGAGTTGCAAGGCTTCGAGGATTTGCTTAAGAGTCTCGAGATCTTTCGATGGTTCATCGATTCCTCTGAGTTTAAGTCGTTTCTCAATCTCTCCGTAGATGGAAACTGGTTGCTTTGGCTCGGGAAAAAAATCGGCCGAGTCGTAGAAACATTTCCTTTGGCCTATTCCTCGAACCGCAGCTTTCATCGGTTCAGTTTTCACATTTCTTGAGCTTTGTGATCTGTTATTCATTAAATGCTCTTGTTTGCCGCCATTTTCTCTCAATGCATTGCTCGAAATCTCGTCGTTTTGGAAATTTGGTAGCTGGCTCTCTTTCAAATGGAAATTAACTCCATCAATAAAACGGTACTGAAATAGATCTCTGCCTCTGGCTTCCGATGCGGACCTTCGGAGCTCCGCTTTGCCATTTGGTTCGGGATCTGAATTTGGTAATGATCCGAGTCCCATGAGCCTCGCGATTACGCTAGGGGACCGTCGTTGTTTGTCGTTATCATCTACTCCATTCTCTTCACTGTTGGTTTTGCATTGGTTCGTACGGATCTCAGAGGGTTTGAGGCTTCCTTTAGCATCAACGACGGCTCTGCTATCGAGAGAGAGCCTCGGAGCTTCTTTGGAAAATTTAAATGGTGACCTCGTACTGCCTTCTTTGAATTGGAAAATGGGGAACGGAAGGGATGCCTTGTTCTGGTTTCCCGTCGGAGTAGAAGGCTCCGGTGCTTGGGACCGGAGCTCAAATGCTCCAGGAGATTCCTTGAAACGGTCCGGTGATGGTGCTAATCGTCCTTGCGTCTGCTCCTCTAATTCTCCCTTTGTAAATGGCGACTCAACGGCCTTCTCTTCCTCCGACGTCGTTTCACTCGACTGAAAAAGAGAAGTCAATAAAACATGACCAATATAGTAATAAATCTCCCAGGGTCCAGAGACCCACATTCAAAAATAGGAAAAAAAATACCTACCGGCGAAGGAGGGAGGCGCTTGGTGGAGTAAAGGCGTTTGCCGGTGGGAAGCTGTTGACGATCAAAGATCTGAAGAAAACCAGCCATGCAACCCATTTGTTTCCCAATTCGCTCCTCTAGATTTTGCTCTGCCATGATTCCAGTCATCATTAAAAAGGAAGAAATAAAAAAACTTTTCCCTCTATATTTCAACTAGTTATCCTCTGTTTTCTTTATCTATCTCCCCATTTAAATCCCATCTTAACAATTGTCTCCATTTTTTTTTTTCTGTTTCTGATTCTCTCTACATTCCTCTTTCTTTCTTTTTCCCTCTGGCTTAGTGGTCTGTGACTGCAGTCTATTTCTGCTTCTCCCGCTTTTCTGGTCTTTTAAAGGGCTGGCGAAGTTTAGGAAAAGAACAGTGAGGCAGGCCAAATGGACTAACTTGCCCCTAACCTTTTAACTAAATGCCAGATTCGTACAATCTTAATTATTGGTTTAGTGATTTATAAGGAAACAAATATTTTTGCATATTCCTTTTATTATTATTTGGGATAAGTGGGATGCACCGACTCTGCAGCTTGAGGTAAGCCTCCGTGGGCAATGCAGTCTCCATACGTGTCGTGCATCCGATCCCTTAAATCTCGTGCCTTTGAACGACGACCAAACCCTTATCCTTTGAATTTATATTACACGTGTAAGTTTAATTTTATGATTTTATAATTATATTCGTGAAAACAGAAACAAAAATCAGTCGCACGAAAACTTGAACTCTAAGCGGTGTTAATAGCTGTCCTCGATTGTTTCCATTTTAAGCTTAAATCGGTTCATAAATTTGGTGTTAGATTGTGAAGATGTTAGGGTCATTAATGTCCGATGATTAGTTGGAGCGTTGCGTATGAATGGACTAAAAAGCCGACCAAAACGGGAGAGATGGATAACGCCATTAACGGGAATCACGAGGACACTGATGAGGTTTATTACCAGATGAAAGTCGCACAAGTGGTGAGTAAAAGAAAGAGAACAAACCATGGCTTTTACCAATGCAAGAGAGGCCAAAGAGTTGATAAACATGCGTAGCGCAGCCCGTGAGTGATGTGACGAGAACACACAAAAAAAAAGGAAGAAGAGAACAAAGCCATCGTTTTCCCAAGTAAAAGACGTCGAAACGCAGACAGCTGATATTACTTCCATTAAAGGCCCTCGAAGCTCGGTTGCTGGGTGATCAACTTTGATGTCACACGTGGCTAACGTTTTGAGTCTTGACGTGTCACGGTGTGAGTGGACGGGTATGATTATAGTACGTACAGTCGGATAGGGGATCAAAATTCAAAGGAAGAGTGCCTTTTACGTGTATACGTACAGCATACCGCATTAGTTTAGGGAGAAAACCTAATTAAGTAATTGAATGAAATTTTGGTACTATTAAAAGCAAGAGTCATAAGAGATTAATATATGTTGTTGATAATAAAAAAATTCTCGTGGATTCCCGGTAGTTTAGTTCGTTGTTGATGAGAACGATAATTTATGAGTGTCCTTTTATAAGAGAGTCTATCATAGAAAAAAGAAAAATTCGGGTCGGATCAAGTTGGGTGAAGAATATATCATTTTCAGGTCGAGTCGAATTCGGGTGAATGATACATATTTTTTAGGTTGATTCGGAATGACAAAAAATTTGACCTAATCCAACCCGCTACCATCCCTGATTTTACTATACTAAAATTTAAGATGTGATTTTTATATTTTAATTTGGGATAATTTAGGCCTTTTATAATAACATAAGCATTAGTTAGAACACAAATGGTTAGTATTGTTAACTTCTCCAGTAAAAATGCAGGCATGGATTGTGTTAACACAAGCCTTAGTTTAAATACGAAAATCATCTCAAATTACACACATTTGAATAATAATAACTGGAATTAATCATTTTAAAGTATGGTTAAAACAAACTAAAAATAATATACGTATATAATATAAGATATATTTCGAGCATGACCTTAATATATATGTATATATAAATATATATAATTATTTTAAAGTTAATTTTTTAGGGATGGAAGCTCAATAACGTGCCCTCGACTTTCCTAGGGAAGCGTAATAGGTCATCCAACGATGCCCAGTTTCACATGGATTTGCTTTCTTTTAAAAACTGCATACTTGGAGTTAGAGTTGTACAAAAAATCCGAATATCTGATTTTGTGCAAAAAATATTCGAAATTGGATTTGGGAAAACCCGATTTTTTAAAACCGGATCGGAAATTTAAAAAACCGGATAGTATAACCGGTTTGAGAAAAAATTGGACAATCGATTTTTTTACCGGATTAAAACCGGTTTGAAAAAAAATGGATAAAAAATTGTGTTTTATCCGGAAAAAAATCCGATCTGGAGTTTTAAAAACTAACCGTTAATATAGCCGTTGGAGGGTTTTGTGACCGTTTTTTACCCTTTTTTCTAAAAAAAATACCATTTTACCACCCTTAACATGTATAAATAGGTTGAGGATGTATTTGGTTGATTACAACTTTCTCAAATCTTATTACACAACACCTAAACCGATTTTTTTATATCCGTTTTTTTTCAAACCGAAACCGGTTACACCATCCGGCCCTCCAAACCGGTTTTTTTAAAATCCGATTTTTTGGCTAAGTGAAAAAACGAATCAATTTTTATCCGCTCCGGATCGATTTTTTATCCGACTTTGTGCATGTTTACTTGGAGTAAGTAAACAATCTCAAACCCTAAATTAATAATACTAATAATGGCTAAATGCTATTAAACATAATCCCTACCCTCACGAATGGATGTAGGAATTTGTGTCAGTGGATGCGAACATAAAAATTATATTAAAGTTTTAAGGGGGTGTGAGATTATAAAATCTCATAGGATGCGAAATTAAATAATTTATATAAAATGCAAAGAAAATATCTAAACTACAATAAAATTTTAAATTTTTAAGAGACGCGATTGCTCCCAACACACCCTAGAACTGGATGGCAACAAAACAAAATATAATTATATTAAGAAAGAAATGATATGAACTATTAATGTTTGATTAACGCAGAAGTCATAATATTAACACATTGTTTTGACATACAGATTAGAGTTACATTTGTGAATTTTATTATTTAATTATAATCATATTCATTAGGATTACACTCTTTGATTCTTACTTCTTTTTGAAGAAAACATAACTAACTCCTTGTTGGGTCACTGCTTGTTTTTGCAGGCTGGTTGATAGAAACAGAGCCCAATATTAATCTAGAAAGATGGAGATTTTTTTAAGAGTTAATTGCATCCCAAGTTCCTAATTTATGGCTCTCATTTTAAATTGGTTCTTAAACTTTTAAACATTTTAATTTCATCCTTAAACTATGACTATCATTTTAAATTAGTCCTGAAACTTTTGAATATTTTATTGTCCTCCCAAATTGTAATCTTTATTCTAAATTGGTTCTTAAACTTTTTGAATATTTCAATTTTATCCTAAATTATATGTATTTATTAATCACATATCTTGTTAATAAAATCATTAGACCAAGTTATATTATTATGTGTTTGAAAAAAATTAGGTTAAACTATGGTTGAAATGAGATTACATATTTAGGGATGAAATTAGACGATTTAAAAGTGTAGGCAGGGGTGGATCCAAGCCTAGGCCTACCTAGGCCGTGGCCCTCTCTATGCCCAAAAAGGGGAAATTACTTATTGAGTCACTCATAAATTATTTACTTTTTATTTTGGTCATATAACTATTATTTATTTTAAATCACACTTAATTTACGTTTTGGTTATGTTTTGGTCAATCATCTTTAAAAATTTAGCAATAATGTTGACGTGTCATCATAAGATAATGACATATCATGATTGAAAAATAATTTTAAAAAATGTCATGTTAACATTGTTAAATTTTTTAATGGTGGGTGATCAAAACAGAACCAAAACGTAAGGTTAGATAAAATTTTGAAAAAATAATAGTTGAGTGACCAAAACATAAAATAAGTAATAGACGGGTGACCAAATAGTTAGTTTACCCTAAATAAAAAAATGTATGAATTATGTTATATAAAATATTTTATTATGTTTATATTGGCCTAGTCTACAAAAAAATTTCTGGCTTTGCCACTGAGTGTAGTGACCAATATTTTAGAATGAGATTTATAGTTTGGAGTGAAGTTGGAATGTTTAAAGTTAAAGGACTAATTTAGAATGAGAGTCACAGTTTGAGGATGTAATTGAAATATTTAAAAGTTTAAAGACTAATTCAAAATAAGGATCATAATTTGAGTACATATATGAATATGATGCAATTAACCCTTGTTTTAAAGATAAGGATTGGGGGTAACCATCACAATTCACGTAAAACACAACCGTCATTCTCCTCAAGTTTATCGCTTACAACATTTAAAAAAAAAGGTTAAATAACAATGGACATTACCGAACTATAGTCCGTGTACCATTAAACATTTAATTTCTATAATTATAGCATTATATTTTAGTTTTAATTTTAATCATGTCATTATATTGTTAAAATTTAAACGGTGTGATGACTTAAAAAATGATCTTATTTTGACAATGATTATTGATGTCTAGAAAGATATCGTTTTAGGCACTAAATTTTAAGAGTATTGATTTTGACACTAATTTTTAAACAGTTTCATTTTCGGCACTGTATTTTTTCAATTGTTGCGGACAACTAATCACCGCCCGTCACTGATAGTCTTTCGTAGCAAGATCTCAAAATTGTCGGGAAAAATTATCATTTTTAGAGGCTTGAACACTTTCTTAGATTTGATAGATTTGATTCGAGTAAGTTGTTATAGTTTCTATACTAATTTAATTATGCTTATTTATAATGTTATAATACTTATTATGACCATTGAAACGACTTCACCTAATCATAAAAGATGTAAATATATATTTCATTATATTCTTTTTCACATGTATAAGATTTATAACTTTATTTGTTAAATAAAAAAATTTAAAATTATAAAATATATTTATAATGTTATTTTTTTAAGAAAATATCTTTGAATCCAAAATATTAATTGGAGTATAAATAAGTCGAAGAATTTATGTGAAAAATAATTTATATATATATATCTTTGAATGTCCAAATTAAATGAAACATCAATAACCATGGTAATCCTAATTAGTGATCTGTAAATTTCATGTGGAGTACTTAAAGAAACAATGGAGATCAAATCAAACCATCTTTGCGTAAATATGCGGTCATGATCCCCACTGAACTGCGCCCTGTTCGTTTCTCTTTTTTTCCCCAGGTCAGAATCATCTAATTTGATCAAAAGTTTTTGAATTGAACAAGAGGTCTGTGTTGATTGTAAGCTCTGTATGGGTTCTCTCTAATCTTGTTTAGTTGTTTTAGTGATGTTCACAGTTACATGAATTCAAATTCTGGGTATTTGGTTTTTGAAGCTTTTTGTTTCTTATCTTTCTTATTTGCTGATTGACCAAACTATGTAAACAAACACTGGTTTTCATGGGTTAGTTCATGTATCTGTTAGCCAGTTTATAGATCTGCTAGCTAGCATCCATTGATCCTTGTATTTAACACCTTCAAATGTTATAGGAGAATCAAGTAGTATTGATTTTGTTTTTCCTTTTGTTTACTCTTGTTACCCAGGGTTGAAGCATTTTTTTAGAGTTCCAAAATCATGAATTTCAGAAGAGGGAATTTAGTGGAGGTTTTAAGAAGAGAAGATGATGATGATCCGTGTGGCTCTTGGTTTACCGGTAACGTCATTTCAGCCGATGGCGAAAACTATGTTGTTAGGTACAATCTTCTTATGGACCACAGAGGAAAACAAGTGATGGAGAAGCTGCAGAGGAAGGATGTTAGACCATTACCTCCATGTGTAAATGGGAAGAGTTGGGTGGTCGGCGATGTAGCCGAGGTGTCCGATATCAAGTGTTGGAGGGTCGGAAAGATCACAAAGGTGTTAAAGAACAATGATCGATTCGTCGTTAAGTTGTTCGGGTCAATCCAGCTCAAGGAATTTCATGCATCGAGTTTAAGGATTAGGCAGGCTTGGGATGGCAAGAAGTGGATGGTGATTGGGAAGGTAATGCTTATTTCATCTTTGCTTTTCACCTAATTCTTGGATGTTTATCTTTGGAGTTTAGTATCAGAAAGACATAGTTTTCACCATATTTATGACATCAACTTCATTCTCGCTTGAGTAAATCTAAGATAAATATGACTCTGGTTCTCTTTTGGCTACATTATTTCTTGCTCCATGACCTGTGTGACATGAATATTCAACTTTACAGTCAACGATGGCCGGTGGCATAGTTGGCTTATCTCGAGAACTGGCTTGGAGAACTCTTACCGTTTTTCTTATAAAAAGGGTCTTAGTTTAAAGGATTTGATATTACAAGAGGACCAAGAATTCTACCCTCACTGATCTGTTGAACCTATCAGTATGTCTAAACCATACTACATTTGATTGCAGGTTTCTCAGTGTAAGGATTTGACCAACAATTTTGCACCAAAATTCCCGAACCGTGCCGGTGGTTTGCTTTTCAGGACTTCTTTGCATTTAACCGATACCCTACGATTTACGGATAAGGATAGAGAGGGAATGAATAAGGGTGGGACTGATAATGCTACCATGTGTGTATCCATGAGAGCCATAAATAAAGGCTATGACCTTCGATCTGAAGAATGCAAAATAAACCCTGTTTTTGGAGGAGGAAGCCTCAGGAAAAGGAAAACCGCACCTTGGTCTAGAGGCTGCAATGATGAGACTCCGAAGAGAACATGCCCTCTGTCCAACCAAGTAGATTATATTTCTTTCCCACGTGTAGGGGTTGACAGAAATTTCATTAAGCAATCAGCTAAAAAGAATAACAGAATGGAAAACGCTACTGCTCGCTGCTTATATGATTCTTCTAGACCTGCTTTGTTTCCTGAAGATGGTGACCAATGCTCAGTTGCTAGCTGTAGTTCTAACGGTGTTGCTGATTATGCTGGCCGAATTTCTCATATTTCATCGGAAAGCACACCCGAGAATTCTGATGCCGAGTCGTCATTCCCATATTCGTGTGACAAACGGAACTTACCCTTGTTCCCTACCGATGATAAAGTTGTTGATATCCATGAACTTGAGCTTCGTGCTTACAAGTCGACAGTAGAAGCATTGTATGCTTCGGGTCCTTTAACGTGGGGGCAGGAGTCCCTGTTAACAAATCTCCGCGTCTCCCTTAACATTTCCGACGAGGAACACCTACTCCAGCTACGATACCTTTTGTCTGCTCAAGTTTTATGATCTGTGTATCTTGCCAAGTGTACCGATTTAGTCGGTTTGAAGCTCAACCACTCGAAAGATCGATGGTTTTGAGTGAGATCTGTGGAGGTATAGCAGTTTCATCTCTTGCAGGCGGCACCTTATGACCTTAACCTTCCTAGTGTATATAATGTGTAAATTATTCCCAGGAATTGTGTTCTGTTTCTTGAAGCTTAGAACCAATAACAGGAATTCATGTGTTTTGACTGAATAAATTTTCTGCTGATTTTGTTTTTGTAATTGTATATCCAAATGTCCTATGCTTTGTTAATAGTCCTGTGAGCAGCACTAAACTGGTTTTGTTAATGAACTATGTTAAATCTATATTAAAAATATATACTGACTCGTATATAACGCATGGAAAATTAGGAAAATTAAAACGATGAATTTGCCATCAGTCCCTATATTCTTTTGGCTTGTAAAACTTAATCCCAACTTTATTTTGGACATATTTCATGGTTATTTTATCGGGGTTTTTTGGCCCAATACCCCTAGCGGGTAAAAAATTTAGTGTATTAGGCATACCCGAATTTTATTTAGCAAACTACGGCATTTGCTACAGTTCGTTTGAATTTGCCATCAGTCCCTATATTCTTTTGACTTGTAAAACTTAATCCCTCAGATATTATTTTTTAATGGTCCTCACGTAGTGGGCTCATGTGGACCATTATTTAAATGGTGTTATAATGGCTCGTCACGCCAAGGTGACGAGTCCATTAAAAATATTTTTTTTTAAATTTGTTTAAAAAATAAAATTTATAAAAAAATCGATGGAACTCGTCACATTGAGGTAACGAGTTCTTTTGAATTAAAAAAAAGTAGTCGTCGTTCAACGGGCAGAAGGGCAACAACGGTTAGTGGAACTCATCACCTCAAGGTGAGAGTTCGGCCGGGGATTTTAATTCACCAGCTGGTTCTAGTCGTTAGGCTTAGGGTATAAATAGGAGTTCGAGATTTTGGTATTTCACCAAACCCTGAATCTGAAAAACAAGAAAAAACATATGTTCTGCGAAAATCTCAAAAAATGGCAACATGAGAATATATGTTGCGCCTAGATAACATCCATGTTTCGATGATCCAACGTGGGCTGGACGACGAATGATGTATTCGAAATTAGGGGATGACAATCAGATCCGCATCACCGGATGATGGTATATCTACAACAATCCGGTCTATTTTCGGCCATATTTGTATGTGGCTTCAAGGTGTACCTGACGTTGATCAAACGTTGGCGCCCCGAGACACATGTTCTACTTTTTGAGTGGTGAAGCAACGATTACTCTAGAAGACATCGCTTACCAACTCAGTGTTCCGGTGAATGGAGCCCCTATGGTGAGGCAAAACATTTACGACCATGCGACGTTGTTTTACCAAGTCTTGGGAAAATGGCTACCATCCAGCGTCGTGAGGGGCTATCGGATAATGATAACATGGTTGGAGTACGAATTCCAATTCACGGATGAGTCTACCGAGGCATAGGTTGTTTTTGCAACCCGAACATTTCTTCTCCAAGTGATCGGAGGGATATTATTACCGAACAAATATGATAATTTGGCACAGACCCAGTATCTACGATATTTGGACAACTTTACTGTGTGTCGGAAGACTATTTGGGGCTCAAAATTTTTGACCTTTCTTTACCTAGAGCTTTGTAAGGTTGCAATTGTCCAACGTGATCGAAAAGTCGATCTAGCAGGCTATCTGTCACTGCTACAGTCCTGGGCATGCCATCGCTTGTCATTTTTTACGCCGATTACAGATTATCCGGTCGAGTTTTCGTTGGTTGTAATGTAATTGATTAACTTCATTTATTTAGCATTTTTTTAATCTCAAAATTTTATTTATTTTTATAATATTATTTATTTTTAAATATTTTAAATGGTGTCATAAAATAACGGAGACGAAGTTGGCGGGTAATACACAAGACATACGGATGAAGATCGACATTGCTGGTCAATTCACGGTATGACATATGTTATTTTTATTATTTTTTGAATCTTTTTAACTTTATATATACTAACTTTGATATTTAATATTTACAGATCTTTTGGCTCTCGTATGTTGAATAGGAGATCAACGACGTATTGTCGGCGTGATTTTTAGAGGGGTCTCACTTATGGTGTGTCGTGACGCTGTTATTACACCATGCGATTGTTTATTGGCACGCGACTGATAGAGTGATGCGGTAATTTGTGGCGCACCAGCCGGTTCCTACAAAAAGAGGTTTTGATATAGATAGCGTTCCATACAATTGATACGCGTGGGAAACATGATGAAAATTGGTCGGCGTGACACGCTTACTACATTGACCTATGGAATCAACGTGAACTATCGCTCCCCCATTATCAGGACATTACACCGTTGGACTTAAATTTTGGCCAGTCTCCTTATATCTGGATTTACGAACAATATGACAAACCATATCTCACGACACCACAAGAGAGGGAAGAATGGCAAAATCATCAGGCCATAAGCGCCAAGTCGAAGTCCAATAAGAAAGCATCGTCGTCTATTACTTTCGCTTCAGCATCTGCCGCTGAAAAGTACTATCATGCATCCCAGGCCAGTTTCGGTTTCTATCCTCCATTTCAAGCTTCAAACGAGGCTTAAATTAATTGGGTTGGAGGTTCATAGGATGCACCGCAGTACACTCAAACATCTTCGACAGAACACGCGATTGCGGGTGAGTGAGACCATATCCTATATGGTCACCAAAGCCAAGTCGAAGCAGTTACAACGATGATGACGTCAAATGTCATAAATTCGTCACCGTCTTTTGAAGTTGGATCGTAGAGTGAGTTGGGTACACCTCCTCGGCAAGACGACGACGACGACGATGATCAAGGCTTACGACCCCGACATACTGACGAGCCCCGTGGAGTTATCATTTGACCATTCCGCAACATCGTCAAGAACTTAGAAGACATAGATAAATTGATTTTTACTTTGTAATTTTCATGTAAAATTTTATTCTTTACATTTATTTATTTACTTTGTATTTCGTAAAATTTAAGTAAATTATTATTTTTTAATTTAATTTTTTTTAATTATCCCCGGTCGAACTCGTCACCTCAACGTGACGAGTTTCACTGACCGTTGTTGCCCCTCTGCCCGTTGAACGACTACCTTTTTTTTAATTCAAAGGAACTCAATACCTCGATGTGATAAGTTCTATCAAATTTTTTTATATATAAATTTTATTTAAAATTAATATATATATATATATATATAAATATATATATATATATTAATGGACTCGTCGCCTCGACGTGACAAGTCATTATAACACTATTTAAATAATGACCTACGTGAAGCCTATTACGCGGGGACTATTAAAAAAATAATATCCGAGGAAACTTATCACCACGAGTTCCAAGACAAGTTCCAGCGAACTGTAGCAAATGTCATAATTTACTAAATAAAATCTAAGTAGGCCCAATACCCTAAATTTTTTACTCGCATGGGGTACTGGGCAAAAAAAACCTATTTTATCGTCCATATTTGAAATTTATGCACCTCTCGAAGATATTATCCCAAAGTTTAATTCTAAAAAATTAGTCATCTTATTTATATAATTAAAATATTAAAATCAAATTATTAATAAACATTGCCAAATTTAATTATTAAGAATCTAATATTTAAAGATATGAAAAATAAAGAAAATATTTAATACACATATATTGTAAAAATTTAATTCAATAAATATACTTATTTAAATGACCCAACTACAAAACTAACCGAGCGATCTATTGTAATTATTCCTTGAGGTTCCAAGTTCAAACACCAAAAATACTAGAAGTGTGAGCATTCAATGTCAAATTATTTCGGTGCCTAGAATATCATCACCCAGAATAAGTAGAGGTTATCAAGCTTATGAAAGGTAAAACAGCAGCATCCTTCGAGTCAAATTATAGTCTAGGGTTACCTATCATTGTTTCTTTCTGGAATATTTTTTCCACCATAACGGTAGGCTCTTGGTGGGGAATGCTCAGGAGAAGGTGTACGGTATCGGCGTGCAAAGGAATAGCGGTCAGTGAAGCCACGACCTTTCTTTCCGCGCTTCGGTTTGCCACCTTGCAATGGACTTCTCGAGGAAATATGACCTTGGTTAGATGTAGGGGCTTTCTTTGGAGGACTACTCGATGGGCCATGTGAAGTCCTCTGGTTCTGCTCGTGAGATATCTGAGGAGGGCTTTCGTGGGAGGAGTCATGCTCTGGCTACAACTTCTGTTTGGCCTCTGTTTTCGGGTTGGGGTCGCACTTATGAGAAGCTCATGGTAAAAGAAACATTGTTAATAAAATCAAAAAGAAGATTTCGCCAGACATGAATTGAAATGCTAAAAGCAACCCAACAAAATACAATATAAGAATAAAAACCTTGATCTGTCCGAGCCATCTGTAAAGGTATGTTGTTTCGCAGCCTTGTTGCCATGAGCGTTGTTGGGAAGCTGTTTCTTTTTGGGGCACTTCAAACTCTTCAATTGAGTTTTCTTTGGTTACCTTGAACTTATCCTTTCCTAGTCCTGCATTAGAATCTTGGTCAGAAAGTTGGCTAGGCACACTTTTTTTCTCTACATTTGTAGCATCAGAACCTGCCTTTAGCTTGTACCAAAGGATCAACACTAAGATGCTTATAGAATCTTTTCACTATCTCCTCCCATATAAGCATGGCTTTTGTCACCTATACAAATAAATAATGTCATGAAGACTTGCCAATGCAACCTTACATGATTGGTGGAAATGACTAGAGGGAATTTTATAAAAGTGTAACATCTCTACTTAAAGAAGTTCAGTATTTGCTAAAGCCAATTCCAAAATCAACTGCTATTAGCCTCGTACACGAGAATGAAAAAGGAAGCTAGCATGAAGAACGAGAAAATAACAGGCTAAAACAGTTGAGGATAGAAATATCAAATCATTCACCTTCAGCAGGTTTGGAGATACGATTGGCACGAGCAGAAACATGACAAGAACCAGCCTTCCCATCATCACTGCCACTGCTGGAGCTTGTATTCTTACTTTCACTATCGGTTGAACTATCTGAACTCCTGAAATAAAACCAGTATCAACAAATATCACAAATCAAAATATTTATCCACTAACATTAATATGAAGAAGGAGCAAAAATGTCAGACTGTCCTTGAAACCAGGTTTTAACCAATATCATTTGCGTTTTGATCTTTCTTTCTGGCCTTTTTTCCCATCTCTTCGCCCACCCTCTCTTTTTTCCACGTTTATGCATGCCTGTTTTTGCTTACATCCTCCTCTTATGTCTTCTTCCATCACTAGAGGAACTTGATTCAGAATTAGAGTCATCCAGTTCTGAATCTGAAGAATAGGAATCGGAATCCGAGTCGGAGCTGTAGGAATCAGATAAAGAATATCTTCTTTTTCTTTTATTCCTTCTATCCTTCAAAGACTTTCTGCTTCTCTTCACTTGCTCATCAGAAATGTCGGAAGAACTTTTGTTGATTTCTTCCCTTTCCCTGAAAAAGAAAAACAATGTAGCAAAATGCCAGCAACTGATCCAGAAATCACAAATTACTGTTTAAAACTTCACAGCAGTACCTTTAGCTTTCTCAACAGCACCCTGAAGTTTTACGTTCAGATTATTCACCAGTCTCTCATATATTTACAGGTTGAGCAGGGTTTCCATCACCTGTTCCAACTTGCTCCATTTTCTTCAAAACATCGATTCCCTGAATGACCTTGCCAAAAACAACATGCTTCCTGCCAATCACTAAATAAATGAGAAATCAGGGTTTTGACGCTGGAAAGAATCCTGGTAACCTGAAAAAAGATGGTTTTAGGATTTATTTTACTATTTGATCATTAAAAATCTTTTAAACCGGTGGAACTTGAACCCTTAACCTCTCAATTCTATGTTAAAATCACACGCCTAAGCTGAACAAATTTTTTTATTCAACCTCCTGAGCTGATTTTTATTCCTTGTTGCTTAAGCAGTATAGAAAAGTTCAATCTTTTGAGTTGTAATACATAAATAAGTAATAAGCAAATATTAAATACCCATCAAGATGGGGTTGGCGCTTGAAGGTAATAAAGAATTGAGACCCATTTGTGCTTTGACCACTGTTTTCCATAGAGAGAACGCCAGGACCATCATGTGCTAGTTTAAAGTTCTCATCTGCAATGAAACATAAACTTCGATGATTAAGTTCTAAATTTATCAATTATAAGAGAATTTAAGTGCTCACATGCTAAGGCCTACCTGAAAACTTCCCTCCATAAATACTTTCTCCACCGGTGCCTGCAACCAATTAAAGGTCTTTCATTACAAGTCTGGGCATAATTTAGATGTCAAATATAACGTTTCCATGCATTGGAATGCGGGAGCATACCATTTCCCATTGAAAAGTCACCACCCTGTAAAACCAACATAAAATAGAATATAAATTGATAACTTTAGCACTGTCAGGTACATTCTTTTGCAGGTAAAATTTATAGATACTAGCTCCTCCTTACAATCCCAACAACGAAAAAGAAAAATACAAGTCTCTCATTTACAATATTGATAAGATTATCAATATTTTTTTATTCATTTATTTTATCTTTCATGTTAAATTACAATATATATATTGTATAATGGTAAAACAAAATAATTTTTCATTTTCCATTCTATCATTTCTCGGTCATAAAAAGCAATGGATGTAAAGAAAATTATTACTTCTTTCTACTTTTCTATCTTCCCTACCAAACACACTATAGAATAAAAAATAAATGCATATTTTCCTTCCTTCTTTCCCCTTCCAATTTTCTTTCTTTTCACTCTTCTGTGCATCCTACAGAGAAAACTAATTACCAGTTAAAATTCAGCCGAAAATACTAAGTTTTGTATCTCTAAAACATTTTCTAATGGTTAATGGTTAGTGGCAAATTATGAGACAATCCTTACAGAAAACATTCCTCCATTTAATATGACTAAGGGAAGGAACGAATAACATACCTGGGCCATGAATCCTTTGATTATTCGGTGAAAAAAGGTTCCTTTATAATGCAAGGGTTTCCCAGTAGATTTGCCAATAACCTTTTCAGCTAAAGTTTGACACAGTTCAGAATAATCAAACGCTAGCATACTTGTTTGCCAAGAAAATTCAACAAAAAACAATGTGAAGTTAATCCATCTGGTAGCAAATACAGGCAAATTAGTTTATACGATAAATTTTGAAGCAATGCTTCGTGCAATTTGTCCCAGACAATGAGAATATATTTAGGATTACCAAATTTTGTATCCATAGACTACAAAGTCTACAGTACTAGAGACATTATAAGGAACTTATAAAGACATTAAAAAATAATTGACGGCAGGTTCATAAATACCGACACGCTGTAAAAAGATGACAACTATTATAAGCTCAACCAATTGAACTACACCATGCTCTCTAATCAACTGTAAATATAACAACTTACTAAATACTGAAAATTTTTAGAGATATCTGTACAGAGTGCCCGGAAATTCTCAGCTGTCTTGGGAACAACATCTGCAAATAGCTGTCAGAGTAGGGGGAAAAAGAACTTTATCCTTGCTTGGGAGTGTTAGTCGCAGGTGAGTTCTAATTTCATCCCATATAAAAACATAGTTAAAGTCAAGCAGCTGGCTTTCAGCTTACCCCGATAATAATTTTTTCCACTGGATCTCCACCAATCGAAACATCTAAGAATACCAAAGGATTCTTTTTCTTACTCATCTAACCTCAACTACAAAATGGGAATAATAAGACCTCAAAGTTAGTACATAAACTATCTAATGCATAACAAGTATATATGAGGGTTATAAAATATTGACTCCATTCTCACATATGAATGTTCACGAGCTTCAAGCACAATTCATTAAAAGAAAGTAGAGTTCTAAACACAGCCAATAGACTTCAAAGGAGCCCAAAATTTTAAAGATATCTCCCATCAAATTTTCCGTGCCAACAACAGAACAATTTTCCAATTAGTGAACTACTAGTGCAAACAAAAAAACACAGATTCACTCGCCAAACACCATCGCGAGCAACAGGCAACCAATATTCTCTAAAATAATAGGTGATGAGTGTCCTACGTATAACTCTACAAAAATACACCTAAATAATGTAGCGTTTCAAGAATATTTACGAGAAACCAAAATTTACATTCAAGACTTTGTTTTTTTTCCTCAGGAGAAAAAGAAAATGATTGATATTCAGCTAAAACACTTAAACATGCAACAAAAATGATGTCTATTTACCAGTCAGAAAGCAAATATCGACCGAATTGATACTGGAAAAAGTTACTGAGAAATGAAGATGGGCAACAGATAGGGGCGAATCGCAATACGAGGTAACTCCAGCTACAACTCGAAGAAGGCGGCGATAATTACCGGTTAATGTGAAAGAGAATTAGCAGCCCAGGCTGCTTGCTTATGCTTAGCTTTTTGCATGCAAGTTCATCGCCTAAGGTTGTAGTACCTGTTTTTTAATTTTCCCCAATCCGCCAATCCAAAAACATATATATTGGATAGTACCTCAACTTTTACTTTTTTTTTCAAAATTATATATAATTTTTAATTTTTTTTTGTTCATTTTAATATCGATTTAGTATTTAAATTATCAATTTTGATCTGTTTTAATAGTTAAATTTTTAATTTTTTTTAACTTTACGTTAAGTTTTTTTAATAGAGTATTAAAATGAAACAAAAATTAAACATTAGATATAATTTTAAAAATATAAAAATTTAAATATTAAAACGAATCAAAACTCATATTTTAGATATTAAATACTTAGCTTACCATAAATGGGTAAACTATGCGCTTGGTACGTGATAGACTTGGCCTTTTACGGTTTCAATCTTTGAATAGTTTATCGGCCTAATATTCGTTTTGGGCTTTAGGTCTCTGAACTTGTATCCTTCTCTTTCACAGTTTTTAAATTTAATTTATTTGATTGATTTAAATTAATTATGTACAAAATTATTATAGGAAAAATATTTTCATATATAATCTTAAATTTTAATCAAAAAATATAAAATTTTAGAATTAAAATTTTATCATATTTATAATTTCAAAAATGCTCCGAAATCAAAATTAAAAAATAGTAAATTTACTTATAAAATCATAATCTAGTCCTTACCTATTACACGTAAAAACATTTTTCTTTAATGTTGTTTTCTTTAAAAGCTATGAGTTTAAGTAATTGTGTTTATATATTGTTAATGGTTAACTTTTTTTAATATATAATACCTTATAATCATCTAAAGTTATTTGAAAAAATATATTTTCTTTTAGATAGTTATGGACTCTAGAAAGAAGGAAAGACATAAAATAGAAGAATGATCCAAACGCAAAGAGATGGAGTAGGGTTACAATTTACACATAAGATGGAATATTTCTAGGGATGGCAACGGGTTTGGTTAGGGGCGGGTTTTGGTTAATCTAACTTAATCTAAAAATATGTACCCTTCAATGGAATCTGATTCGACTCGAAAATTTTATATAAAAAATTAATTATTTCTTATAATAATATTTTTATATGAAAAATTGATTCTGTCAAATTATATCAAGTAATAACATGTTGAATTCGAATTAGATTGTCATCCCTAAATATTTCCCATAAAAGACATGCTAAACGAAGATAAGGTAAAGATAGAATCAGATGAGGTCAACAGTTAAGAGATTTGGTGGTCAATCATAGAATCTTATAAAAGTGGGCATACGATTCTTGCCCAAATGAAGCTTCAAAACAAGCAGTCCAGGTGTCGACTGTCCAGCTTCCACAATTTCTCATGCATCCCATCCCCTACGCAATCAAAAGTTTTTCTACTTCTTTTTGAAAAATGGTAAATTACGCATTTAGTACTTAAACTATCAGCTTGATTCATTTTAGTATTTAAACTTTAATTTTTTTAAAATCATACCTAATGTTAGTTTTTGTTTTATTTTAATTCCCCGTCATTAAAAAACTTAACAGGTGGGCTCACTGGCCGTTGCGTCTATAGTCATCGATAGTCGTATCGTCGACTGATGAAACCCAAACTTTCTAGTCCACACCCTTTCGACCGCTGAACATGATTATGACCCTAATTTCATCAAAAAATGCTTCAAACCTCCCCAAATCGACGATATACTCTTTGACTTATTTATCCTTCGATCTTTGTCGTCTGTCGTCCAATAGGCCTGAAACTATGTTGGTCAACTCGTCATTCTCTCATGATCTACCGTTTGAATTGTTCGTCCGTCCATCGGAACTATACCCCATCAACCCGTCCGTTAAGTTTTTAAGGATTGAGTACTAAAATGAAATAGAACTAAGTATTAAGTATAATTTTAAAAAAATAAAAGTTAAATATTAAAATAGATCAAAACTAATAATTTAAATAATAAATACATCTTTTATATAAAAAAAAACCCTATAAAACCGTGCTTCCATGGTATGAAAAAATAGTTAACCGTTCATTTTTTTGGGATAGTGTAAAGAAAAATATTTATTTTTAAATAGAACGTTTATTACAATACTTATCGAAAGTCGTCTTATACAATAATTTTTTGAAGACGTTTAAATCATCTGATATTTTTTAGAATGTCACTTATTGTGTCTGATATTGTGCATGTATGAAACATAAAAAAGACGTCATGTAATCCAAATAAATTTCAAAAATCAACGTATGCTTCATACGACTTTCAAAGTGTAATATAACAAATATTTTATTTGAAAAAAATATTTTTTCATACACTCTATATAACCAATTTTTTTTCAACACATTATCCATTATATTTTATTAATCTTAGAAATTCTCATAATTATGGTTTTATATTTAGAGGTGATAAGAGACATAGAACTTGAATTTTGATATTTGATGATACGAGTATAGAAAGGATTTAACAACTACTTTCGGGAAAAAAAATTGAGATTGATTTAATGACAACTGAATTTCATTAATAAAAAATAAAAGAATTAAAATTACAACGCATTTAAAGAAAAAAATTGGAGACAATGATCACTGAAAACTCATACATAAAATAAAAATATTAAACCCAAAGATACGAGGAGAATGACACCTTTCAAACATCAAAACAATCCAATAATCTTCATAAAACTCATTTGGTCAAACGAGACACTTTACGATGTGATGCAAGAGTGGTGAGCAAACCAAATAATTTGACAGACTGCTTCGCTACACGATATGATTATATCGGCAAACGACCATTTACAAAAGAGAGAATCTCATAATACGTGCCCATCGACAAGCCAATCAGAAAACAAATGCCGTAAGGATCTTTGTGGAAGCACTAATACAGTCGCAGAAGTTTACGAAAAAAAATTACCGAAAACCATGAGGAATGTGTCACAATAGCAGAGAAAAAAAACGTGCCATAAGAGCAGATAAAAGTGTGTCACAAAAACAAAGATTCTTATTTAAAAGTGAAAAAAACAAAGACCTAATATGAAAAAGAACAAGAAAAATAATAATCACTGCAATCGCAACCAATAATAAAATTAGTGTCACGGCTGGCTTAACAAAAATAACAAATGAAGAAACGAAAATGTCACGTGAATATTGAGAGAAATAATTAGGTTAAAGCTAAATAAACACATTGTTTTGAAAATCGGATTGGATCGGATCGGTCGGTTCAATCGGGAATCGTTGCCTAGTCTTGTTCAATCTAGACCGGTTGAATCATTACTAGTGAACCGGCCAGAACCGCTAAACCGTTCAAACCGGACCGACTAAAAACCGGAAAAAACCGCCATTTTTTTTAAATTAAACCAAACGACGTCGTTTGTTAAACGAGCCAAGTCGAACTCGAGTATTGCTGAGCTCGACTCGAACTTGAAAAATTTAAAAGTAAGCTCAACTCGATTCAAACTCACGAGCTAAAAATTATGAAGTTTAACTCGAAATATAATATTGAAACTTGAACTCGAAAAGGCTTGAACTCAAAAAAAAATTAGAAGCTCGATTGAAGCCTAAAATTCGAGCTTGATTGAAGTGAAAGAATAGTTCACTCAATGCTTACCAAAAGGTTCCATGATTTTGAATGCCAAATTACCTCTATTATTTATATAAGTTAGTTGGAATGATCTTCTATGTTTCTTAGCCATGTGAGATTGTTTTTTTAAAAAAAATTAAACCAAACAATATCATTTTTTATGATTTTTTTAGCCTCAAATTTATTTTTTAATTATAGTTATATAATTATATTCATTATTTAATATGTTTTACCTTAAATATTATGTTGTAGTTAATTTGAATCATTTTATTTCACTTGATTTTATGGTTTTTAACTTATATATGTTATGACTCACTTTAAATATAAATTGTAATATAAAAAATTATTTTTTATTAAATATTTTTGGTATTTTTATTTAAATTTTTAAATAATTATGACGTCGTCCGGTTCTTCCGACCGATCGGACCGGTTCGACCGATTGAACCAGTGAACCGATAACATGACTGGTTCGCTAACCGGTCCGGTTTTAAAAACCATGAATAAACAACACTTTTTATATAGTTATATTTTTCATAAATAAAAAACTATCGAAATTTTTTTAATAAAATAAATGACACGCTTGCTTTAGAAAATAATACTGGAAGCTACCTTGTCGTTTTAAATTGAGATAGATTTTTAAAGTTAGAATATTAATTGACTTGTGAGTTGTGATAAATTTTTAAACAAATAAGATATGATAATTCACTATAAAATATGAGATAAATTATGTCACAACAAAATATATAATGTAACTATAAAAATGATAAATGAGTTTATTTGCTCTGACACCGTATTTGTTTATCTTATTATAAATTATTTTCTTTTGTTTATAATTAAATCTATTGTCGTCTCTTTAAAGTTTTAAACCCTCAAATAGATTCTCTTATTGATAAATATTTATATCGTCTCGGATATATATTTTGAATTATGATAAGACTTGAATTATGATAAAAGTAATTATCAATATATTATCATGTTATATTATTGTGAATGTATTGATAGTCTTTAAGGGTCGATTGTCATGACTGATTAGAATTACGTTTATTCTGATATCTTGTTGTTTTTCCTTGTTTTACTTTTGGATTGGATTTGAATATCTGATTTGTGTTCATGAATAGTTTTTCACATCGCTCGAGTATGATTTACGGTTTGTCAGTGGACTTTTAATGGTTTATCCCCTTTTGTGGTTCGTTTGCATATGTGATCAGATCTATTTGTATCTATATTTGTTCGAGTTTATTGGTTAAATTTAATCTTTCATTGTATGATCCTTACGTGATCTTAAATTGATAGTTTTGTTTCAATGATTATAGAAAATTAGTTTATAGCTTAATTTACGATTGAGATTGTAAATCTTTATTGTAATTTGATATATTTATTTTTTTAATAAAATTAGTTTTTTCTCTAAAAAATAACTTAAGACGAAAATTCACGTATTAATGTATATAAATTATAACTTA